TTCCCTGAACAGCAAGGCTTTTGTTTAATTCTCCTTTTTAGAGGACTAAATCCACTTCAGGTGACCCCTTCTTTTAAGAATATTAGAAGAGTAAAATCTATTTTCATAATAGATTTGGTGCAGATCTGCATTCAGATCTGCATTAAGTCTTTATTTTGACTGAAGACATTCTGATTTTATCTTTTAACCATGGAGTTCCCCCCCCTCCTCCACCCAAATATGAATTCACAAGCATTATTTTTGTTGTTATATTACAATCACATTATTTTAATGGAAATGTGACCCAACATGACATTGCAAGCATAAAAGTCACATTTCCATAAAAGTTAATATTGGTAAAGTATGGTTTTCAAATGTGCTCAGATCCTTTATTTAGGTGCCCCTAAATTATATCCAGGACAAGCAACTGCCTTCATAATATTAATTAGTAAATCCATTTTGTGCGTGATTTATCTCAGCTTTTACACCTGTTGTGTGAATGACTCAATCATCAGTAAACAAACAGTATCTGGAAGGCTGAGAAATCCAGCAAGCCAGGCAGGAAAAACCTCTTGATGTAATTAAAGGGGCGGTATTATGAATGTTCCAGGAACCTGGGCATTTTATATAATAACTACAGTTATAAAATCCATCAAAACATTTGATGCCTTGTCTCTTTAAGAAGCTCCTACTCTTTCCGACATTCTGCCTTCAGCACATCATCACAACAATGCCTGTCATTGTGCCATTTACAGCTTCTCTGTGAGGAGACATGATGTAAAGCTAAAGCCCCCACCCCCGTACCCCAAAAACAGGTCAATTCTACCTGACCCCACCACACCAGCGTTATGATAGAGGGATGTTGATAGAACAATAGATGGAACTAAATACAGGCCAATCTTGAAATACTTTGGAGAGAGAAGAGTGCCAAATTACAATAACTATCCATCAATCCATCCATTTATCCATCCATTTTCTAACAGCCTTGTCTCTGTGGGGTCAGGAGGGGCGCCGGTGCCTATCTCCAGCTAACGTTCCGGGCGAGAGGCGGGGTCACCTTGGACAGGTCGCCAGTCTGTAAATCTATAAAAAAAAATAATGAAAATGTCATTAATTTATTACAACTGAAAATAAATGCAGAAATAGCTTAATAAATCTATATTTATGTGTGCCGTTTTATATAATGCAGCACACATACTTTTGAACTAAACATGCTGAAGCAGCTCTTAGCTTTTATGCATCAAAAATCTGGAATCATCTTCCTGCTGACTGTAGGAGTGCGCCCACCCTGATCTCATTTAAAACAAGGTTACTAACCTTTTTATTTGTTGTTACCTAGTCTCAAACTTTTTGGAACCTGATTAATTTTAACCTTTGTGTGCTTTCCCTAATGTATATTGTTTTTTAAGTTCTTTGAAGCGTCTGTGGCTGAAAGATGCTATTTAAATAAATTTCCTTTGCCTTAGCTGGTCTCTGTGGCCTACTGTTTGCACTTGTATGTTGTGAAATGAATGTTGTAACTAGTTGACTTTGATGTCAACTAGAGAACTGCATGGTGCTTGGAATCTGCAACCTGCAACGGCATAGTAAAATAAACATTTGGCATTCTTTGTTTTACTTCTCAATGAAAGGTTTGAATCATCTTTGTCTCCATATGTGGCACTTTGTGTTGGTCTACATGCAATTCTTACAAAATGTATGAAGCTTGTAGCTGCAATGCAACAAACAGTAAAGGCTGGTCACTTTGTAATAACATCATCTGGCTCCCAAAGGCTCAATTTTCCTCGATCGACAAAAGGAAGAAGCAACAGGTTACTTTTTTTCCTTTGAAATCCTGATAAAATGTGCAGATGTTGTAAACAACCAGATCGTGTATCATGTTAGCGAATAGTTTTGCAGACACATCTGACTAAAAGTTATGCCCCCATCCCATAATAAATCCTTCATTTCCCTGTCTTCCATGATGGAAAACAACAGGCACACTGGCACTCTGAGTAACAGTCATACACATCTGCTTGACACATTGTTTACTAGATCATCCATAACAAACTCTAAACTGGAAGATTTTTAAAAAATTACAAGAAGGACCGGGGCTTCGTAATTCTGATGACTCCTTAACTTGGGAGCAAGGTGGTAGTAGTCGTGCACCATTTCTTTCCTTGTCACCCTCTCTAGTTTGTTTTCTGGTGAGCCAAGCTATTCCAGGAAAAGATACCTAGAAACATGTGGCTCAAAAATGCAACGCTTGCTTTAATTTTGACATCACTCCAGAAGCCAAAACAGACAGAATCACGAAGTAAAACCACGTGGACAAGTCAGTCAGAACCTAAATGTACCTTTTAACACTTTGAGGGCAAAATGTCAATGGTACACTTTGACCTTTAAGTGCATTTTCACCTTTTTAGAAAATGCACTTTTCTTGAGATACCAAGTTTCATGCCTCAGATTTAGGTTGCGTAGAATTGAATATAAAAAAAAAGAACACAACAAAATTCAAGAAAGCAATGACAGTATTTATTCAAATAAAGAAATTAAACTTCACAAACAAACAGAACGTATCCTTTACAGAAGGTGGCAGTATGCTGCAGGAAAAAACACTGAAGAAAAGTTTTTTTTGTTTTTGTTTTTCTTATGGGTAACTTACTTAACTTACCATAAGAAACTGGTTTTAGATCAAGAAGTAATAACCAAAATATGTTTATTGAAGCTAAAACTAAATCACCTACATAGTTTTTAGTAACACGTTGCCTAATGAAAGCTATTTGGATATTAAATACAAAAAAGGAAGAAATCTGCAGAGGCAGAGTCGTATGAGGAGAACAGCGTATGAAGTGTCTTACACTCCAGCAGTTACATCTGTGAAATATAAGCTGAAATCCAAGATTATATCAACAAGTCTTAAATTGTGTAAGCCCAAAGATAAAATATGCTTCACTTATCTGTTCGAGTAAAAATAATATATTTTCCTGAATGTTGGGGGGTCTTACACGTAACAACATTTGGCTCCTTGGTAAAACCTACTTGTGCAATCAGTTGTGCAAACTCAAGTTTTCAACAGGAAACAGCCACAAAATTAATGGATAAAGGTGCTGATATGCCTATGACTAATAGCAAGAATATGTATGATCGGTTTTAATTGGAACCACATTTCCACGGGGCTGAGGACCTTTCAAAAAAGACAAAGGAATTCATTCGATAAATATGTCGGGAGAGGACAAGCAACAATGGTTATGCAACTGCATAAAACAGGCAAGAATTACATGACAGATTAATGTCGAGCATCACTGCACAGAAATTTTAGCATGTCAAAACTGACGAAGGATGTGCTTAGTCATCCTTAGGATTACTCTTATTACAAAAGTGTTGTCCTATTTAGAAAAAAAATGTTTAATTATAGTCTAACCTTACAACAAAATAGTTTTGGGGATGGAGGAATCAACCAATATTAGGTACAATGTTACACAATTTAGTTATTGACTAAAAGCGTAATAGGAAGCTTATAACTTTAAATAAACATTTTTGGAACTTTATACAGAGATTTGTATACATTTGCTTACTGACCACTTTAACAGGTGAACCTGCTCCATTGCTTTAACACAAATCAATCCACTTTCTACAGGTGGTGAAGATTAAGAATGGAGGAGGAAGGAGATTTACGGTACACGACTGCAGTATCACGATTGTTGATCTTAGATATGCTGACCTGAATATTTCAGAAACAGTTGATTTGTTTGGATTTTTACACAAAGCCATACCTTCGGCTCACAGAAATTGGTTTGAAAATGAAAAGAATATCCAGTGAGCAACCACCTTCAAAAGAAAAATGCCTACGTTAAAGGAGAATGGGTTCATAAGATGCAATGCCTGTCCAAAAAAGCAAATGTCATCTTGTTAGGGTTAATATTTCCACGTCCAGCATGTAGGTAGGCTGCATTGCATGCATACTCTGTTTTAATCAGACTTGTTGACAATTTGGCTTTGAACATATTTCAGTACATTTCTATTTAATTTTGTGCTGCCAAAACTTACAGAAAGAGTTGTTCACCTCCTTTAGAAAGTTAGTGCTTAGGATTTAAAATCACATAATTTGATGACACACAGTCTGCGTGTGTCTGAGCACAGCCAGCAGAGCTCTTTACATAACAGCGAGGCTACAAGGGACCAATGGATAACCTCTTCGTCACCCGTCCTATGTTATTATAAAGGAAGACAAAGCTGTAGGCCAAAACCAGAAAATACAAATTTGATAAAACATGATGTGCACAAACATGCCGAAAAAAATCTGGTCGCTATCAGGTTTGCAAAATGCTGCATATATCTCACTAGTACTGACATAAATACACACAGTAAGTTGACACGAGTGAAAGTTGAGCTTAATGAAGGACCAGGATTCAATGACTGGATCAAGACGACCCTTGTTTCAATATTTCCATGTTACCAGTTCAAATACTGTGGCTGATTTGTGTCAGTCTGAAACCAAGTATTGTGATTTAAACTTTTGTTTTTAGAAATGTGGTTGTTGAAGTACATTTGATACGTATTATTTACATCCCATTTTTTGTCTAAACTCAAGCATCAGGTTCTCTATTGGTGAGAGGAAGCACCAGGGGGCAAAAATGGAGTTTTTTAGTTTTTCTGTGACAGAGGTAGATGCTGTACTTCACCCATGATTTTAGAGAAGTGATTTAGATCTGCAACAGGTTTTTTTGCTATTCCAATGATGTACTTAGAACTACGAATTGTGGTTTGTATGATCATTCTTACAGACACCAAAGTACATATTTCATTTTTTCACACTGTGGGGAAAAGAAGAATGGAAGAGTACCTAGAAGTGGGAATAATGTGCATTTGTGTTTTGCATGTAACTTTTAGCGTGTGGGAAAAAGAGAAACAAAAAAAACCAAGTGAGAGAAACCAGTCTGTGAGTCAGAGATGACGGGAGGTGCGATGGGCAGGTCCCACATGTCCAAGCCCATTTCTGCTATTTAAGAAGGAGCACTGGCCCTCTTTCTACAGAACCACTCAGGAAGACCCTGTGCATCTGCTTTCTTTGTATCTTCTCACCAGCCTTCAACAAAATGGGTCGACAGAAGGTTTATTTGGACAAACTGGCCCGCTTCTTTCAGATCCGTAACCTGCTGCTCCGCCAGGCCCTGGCAGAGTGCCTAGGCACTCTCATCCTTGTGGTAAGTCGGTGTATATGTGGTCCAGATGCTACTTAAGATGCTCACTTAGGGGGATAAACTGTGGTATGCATATAAAAAAAAACACATAACAAGAAGATGTTATGTACTTTAAAGTGTAAATCCTTAAAGGTCATATATACACACATTATAGCGATAGTATGAGCAGCCCATGTTTAATGTAATGAAAGGTGGACTCTATTTTCTGATAAGACATGAACTCTGCACCAGAGAACAGTTTTGTCTTTCTATTCACTCAACCATAAAAATAACAGAGCTTCTTATCTAACATGTTTGAATGCAGAAAAATGATGGATGACGGTGAAAGAAAAGAGGTTGACGAATGTTGCTTAGTCAGTCAAAGTGGACTGAGATCAAACAGCAAAGTAACACACTGTTCAGGGTCACATGTTAAATGAATTTGCTTAATCATCACACTGGATCATTTTATTTTTCATAATGTGATAAGTGTGTGTTTGCATTAGAATATGTATATAAAAATATGCATTTTTATCGATAATTAATCCAGTGGGAAAGAAATGTTATGTTCTGCTTTTCACAAGTCATAATATGGGGATTGAAATTGGCTTTCTGTGCCACAACAACTTTGTTTTTAATTTATTTTATTTCAAACATAATAGCAGCGTAAAGCCCAGTGAGTTCTGGTTTACTTCAGCCATTGTTTAACCAAGACTGTGGATAAAATGAGTTTTGAAGTTATTACTTTCAAGTGTTAAATAGCAGACCATAAAGTTTTAACTTTGACTAATCAGGGTGATACTGATTACTGTGGATTAATATCACCCTGACTCCCATTCATGATCCTTCAGGCAAAACGGCTCCAAACTGAAATATTTTTGACGTAAAAAGGCTTCCACGTAAAAAGGTATTGAATGTTGTGATGTAACTGGGTGTGGTGAAATTACCCGTCAAATGGCGCGTCTATACTTGGAACAATAGGTGTTTAAGCTTTACAACAATGACATGTTTGACAGGATTTTACTTCCTCAGTAAATTCAACACGTCATATAAGGCTATTACTTCTAAAGAAATTTATTTAATTTTATTTCATGTGATCCAGTAATTTTTACTGTTCAGGTTTTAAATCCTTCGTTGTCAGACATTTTCAAGTCAACATCTGTATTTGTCAGAACAGATTATTGATTCATCTTGATTAAAATGTCAAGATAATAAGGAAGACAATGACTTTCGTTATTAAAATGCAGCAGGTCAGAATTTCCCATTGAAGCGTCTGACAGTATTGCCACGGCCCTGTGATCCTCCTGCTGAATTCGAAAAGATGCCACACAGGTGGGGATTTAGAGAAAGGGATCTGGCCAGAAGGGTTTTTTTCCTTCAGACAATTGCCAAGTGAGTGTCTCTGGCTGCAGAGGATTTTTTTATGAGCTCCCCAACTGTGTTCAAAGTTCTGCAGTAGCTATGATTAGACGCATAAACTGGTTCAGTCTTGTTTGCTGCTCCGAAGCAAACCACTACAAGAAAATATCATGTTCCATCACACTTATGTTCAATTAAATGTAGAGCTTTTAAACATAACTCAATCTGAGTAAGGAAGCATGCACTTCCAAGCTGAAAGTTCATCATTTGTAATCTAATGCGTCTGACATTAAGGACTAATCACTGCAGTGCTGTGGTTGCACATACTTGTCTGCAGGCACATTTCGCACAGTTTTGATGTTTTTCTTTTCTTGACTTGTGGTTTTAGCAATAATGACACTGGCGTGTTTGCTATTTTCTACTTATACAGGTCACTGAAATAAATAAGTGCATCCTCTAAAAGTAGTAATTCTTCCAGCCATAGTGGTCACAGCTGGAAAAAACATTGAAGGTGTTTTTTTTTGTTTTTTTTGTTTTGCATATAATTTCTGAGCGCTGTGGTTTTGCTGAATAGCATGCTCATCCTTTGGTTCACAAAGTCAAAGACTAAACATGGATCACACAGATCAGTTAAGCCAGGCATGTTAAAAAAAAAAAAAAAGCAGCTTGGCAATAAAAACTGGGGGTGGGGACCAGTTGAAAAGGCTAAAAACCAAACAACAAAGCTGTAAATTCTTCTTTGTGTTTTCCACAGGGAAATTCTTTCTTGACCATAAAAATATTTTGTAGACATATTTTTTTCTTGCCCCAACTGGCGCAACATTTCCTATATAAATTCTATGTAAATAATTTATGCGAGTTTAAACATTCCAGTTTGTGTTTTACATTTATTTTTTAAAATGTATATATTTTCGTATATAGTTATTGGTTGTCGTTGTATACATGTTATTCAACAGAACAAACAAACTTTAATATAGTGATAAAGTTATGTGTCTTGTGCTTTCAATGTAGGGGAATAGGCCTCTTCTGGTTCCACTTTTGAAACTTTTCTTGCAGTTTTACGCTCAAAATGAGGACACATACATAGCACTGTCATCCTCTGTGACTTCAGAACCACAATGGAGTTCATTTTTTCCGGCTCCAATAGCTTTTTGTTTGACCGGGTTCACTGATAACGTTCATCCAGGTCCATTTTCGTCTCTCAGCTTGACCTTGGTGCGTGACAAAAGAAGCGTTGTTCGTGTGTTAAAATGAGAAAAATGACCAACGAGATGGCTGTGTGTTGGGACCCCGCTGAAAAATCCATTATTAGAAGCAACTTTAACAAAGCGTTTTTTTTTTTTTTTTGTTTCTTTTTTCACTGGCAGCATCTGTGTTTTTTCATTACTGCTCCTCGTAAATATGTACATCAAGATATGAGTCAGCAGCCGCAAACAGTATCGTATTATTTAAAGTCGACCTGATTTTCTGCCTTTTAGATGTTTGGCTGCGGCTCTGTAGCCCAAACTGTGCTGAGCGGTGGCACCCACGGCATGTTCCTCACCATCAACTTTGCCTTTGGCTTTGCTGCCACATTAGGTATTCTGGTCTGCGGCCAAGTATCAGGTAAGCAAACTCAAGCACACTCCCACACTCCTGGCTAATTGGAATCACTTTAACTGCTCGTTTTTTTGACAATGACCATATGATCAGTTGAATTTCACTTAATATAAATTTTTACATTATGTCATGCCCGCACTGTAGTTCACTTGATGTCTACATGACGCCCCCTGCAGGTGGACATTTGAATCCTGCAGTGACCTTTTCGCTTTGTCTGCTTGGAAGAGATCGCTGGAGAAAGTTCCCCATGTACTTCCTCTTTCAGACAATCGGAGCTTTTTTTGGTGCTTCCATTATCTTTGGCATGTATTACGGTAAGCAATGACTCCTACAGGGATTCAACAGTTATCCTTTCACATACAGAAAATTTTTTGTGTCAGATTGTGATGAATATCAAACAGAAATATAGTAAATGTTTTTTTGTTTTTATTCCATTCTTCTGCTTCAGATGCCTTGTGGGACTTTCCAGGATGTTTCAATCTCACTGACGATGCTAACACTGCTGGCATTTTTGCCACGTATCCCGCAAAACATCTCACTCTTGTGAATGGATTCTTTGATCAGGTACTTTAAAAAAAATGTTTCGTTAATAGAAAACTTTATATCATCATGAAAGCTATGTTATTTCATTCCCATATGTCTTTTTTTATTTTTTACACAGGTTATTGGCACGACAGCCCTCATCGTTTGCATTCTGGCGATTGTGGACCCGTACAACAACCCAATCCCCCAGGGCTTAGAGGCCTTCACTGTGGGATTTGTGGTTCTGGTCATTGGACAGTCAATGGGCTTCAATTCTGGTTACGCTGTCAACCCTGCCAGAGATTTCGGACCACGTCTTTTCTCTGCTATCGCTGGCTGGGGATCTGACGTTTTCACGTAATGAGCAAATTCTTGGCTTCTTTTTGGCCAATATTTGGGGCGGGGGAATGGAGACTGCATGCGAGATCTAGATTTGTTAGAAGCACTTAGACTTACATTGACTCCACAGCATAGATTATAATGGTCGCAGCTTTTACCTTTGGAAGTGCTAAGAATTGTTTCTCTTAATAGTTATGTTAATTTCAGTGTCTATTAATGAAAAAAAGTTACTTAATTCAAAAGTTGACAAAGAATGGTGAAAGTGCTTTTGGCTCACTAAGCTCCCCACGTCAAAAGTAGGCAATAGCAGTCTGCCACTTGAGCTGAAGTTTATTAGAAAGAAATCCCTTAAATCTTAGATTTCTGTTTTGTTTTTCTATAATCTTTGAAAAAGGGTGTTTCTAAAAGAGAAACTGTTTATAGTTGGTGAAGATAAACCAGACATTATCACATGTTTTATCTTTAGCATAAAGTGCTCTATTCTATTTTGGTCTGTCAGGACTGTTACATGATTTTTGTTTATAATTTATCAGTAGATATTTATTTTCCATGAATTTGGAAGAAATGGTATATGGAGCTCACTTTCTGTTTCAAAGAGAAGTACATGGCACAAGGGGTTGTCATCAGAAATCATTTCTAAAGTAAAATTTCTGCCCTGTTAAAAAGACAATAAAAAGGTCATGTCTCACAATTTCAAAATGTATGTTTTATTGCTCTGAAATGCTATATTTCTTGTTTTTTACATCACTGATATCATTCTTAATGACATTCTTGTCTCTTTTTCCCCCTCAGGTACAGAGATGGCTGGTTTCTGGTGCCGATTTTCGCCCCATTCATTGGTGCCATTATTGGCACGATGATTTATCAGCTAATGGTCGGCTTCCATGTGGAAGGAGAAGCACGTGACCTGGAAGAGAAAAAGAACAAAGAGGAAAATCTACAACTCAACGTCCACTCCAACCCCAAATCTAATTCCAACGGCAAAGAGGCTAATTGCTAAAGCTAGGTTCATAAAGACTTGTCCTGAATGTTAGACACATGCAGCCAGTGGCTCCGAAATCTACACACATAAATAGCGATGTGGCACAGATGTATTATTCCTGCCACTTATACGTTATATGTTATGAAACGGTACTAATACATTTTCTTTACATTGTTGTGTAGCTGTATTATATTGTAGAGGAACTTCTGTGTACAGTATGAGTAGAGACACTATTTCTAAAGAACATCATTTCACTTCAGAGATGTAAATCTGAACGGATGCGTCGTATCGCACTTCATTTTTTTTAGCAGTATTTTATACTTTGATGTTTTTCTTGCAGTTCTTTTTTATATAATTGTTTTGTCTGTCAAGTAAGTTTCCTAGTAAAGAGTCTGTATAAGGCAGTTTAAAATTTTGTTAATTTTTATTTGTGCTAATCGTTTCAAAAGATGAATAAAAAGTAAGATTTAGCAAAATGCCAACTAATGAAAGTATGTATTTGGAAGCATATTACAAAAAAACTAAACAATAACCCATAAACTGCAGCAAACAAATCATGTTTGATGACTGTGACAAGCTGAGCAGACAGCAGGTCTCCGGTTACATTCTGAGAATGAACACTGTTCTTCTCAAACTATTTTCAGCTGTTGTTCAGGCAAGTTCAGTCCACCAAAAGTCCTTCACAAAGAATCCCACATGTCCTTTTCTGTTTGAAACAAATGCATTTTTGAAAAAGGTCTGCCCAGATAAAACTGTCCCTTTTAAAAAAAAATGTTTGGTGCTTATAGAGAAATTACTCAATATTATCTTGTTATTTGTATAAATGGCATTGAGCTTCTGTTTTGCTTCTTTGCTGGGGTTTTTTGTTATTGTCATTGTTGTTCTCACAGCTGATGATGTTTTCACATATTGTGCAAATGCAGTTGGGAGTAAAACTAAAACGTTTCTGGTTTGTGTTTTGTCCAAAGGCTGGGAGGAAATGCTTTGATACCAAAACAATGAAATTCCATCTTTATGCTGTAGCCTGAATGCAGCTTGTATTACACTTTTGATTGTATCAGGTGTTGCCTGTAGTCAGATCAAATCCGATAAAATAAAAAGAACAACTTTAAAAAGTATAAACTTACCGTGTCCTTCTGTAACCAAATTCTTTGTTTGCTTTGTCGGGTTTTTTTTTTTTTTTTTTTTTTTTTTTTTGCAAATCATGAAGATTTTTTTGTGGATGACGCACAAGTTGGGCTATATCATTTTGGTCATATTTACCCTTTGACATAATTTACTTATCAAGTAAATATTTAGAACTATATTATTCCACAAATAAAGCATGCCCTTGCAGAAGTGAGGTGAAACAAACAGCAAGACGAGACAGGAAAATCAACAAAGGATAAATTTCCTCTGGCTCTGGGTAAAAAAACAGCTGACATTGCTACATTTTAATCTTCCCATTTCATGGCTGTGTCTCAGCAGTATCTCCAAGCTCTGCTTTCTCCATGTGCACAAATCATCTCAGGCCTTGGTACTCCATACCAAACATTTCTCTTGCAAATAATTCTTGGCAAATCTGTGGAAAAAAAAAAGATATTTGGGATTTAATATCCTTGCCCTTTATCCAGCTTCTGATGTGCACACCATATCGACAGACAGTACTTCTGTAAAAGAAAATGAGTGCAAATCCTCCCAGCTTCCAGGGAAGACTTGCAGGTCAGCTTTATTTTTGGTATAGATCCCACAATCCAGCAATACCCAATTCTTTTCAACTTACATCACTGTGAAAACAGGCAGCTTCAAAACATTTGTCTCTGCAAGAGAAAACAAAAAAGTAGTTTCATCTGTTATATTTGCACAAATCCGTCTCATTTAATTGTTATTATTCACTTGTCTGGTGTCTGATTTTCAAATATTTTATGTTTTATTGAGGATTGGTGCAGCTATGTTTTGGCTGTGATCATGTCAAAGCCGCAACTTGTATTAAAAATGTTTTATTGTCCGTCTGGATGCTGCCTGCTTCCATGGAAGGAGAACAGAATATTGACATTTTGTAATTACTAAAATCGCAATACACTCACTGTGTGTCCCTCAGAAAAATGAACCAATTTAAATAAAGAAATCTCTCCATGAGTGATTCCACGATAGAGAGCGTTTATTTTATACATTTAACATCTGTGTTGAAAGTGATTCAGCATGAAAAGCTAGCACCACAACACTTTTGAATCTAAATCATCAGAATACCGGGATTTTTCCTGTTGTTTTAGCATAAGAATAAACCGGGAGACGAAAATACCAATAAGAGAAAACTGAATGGAAATGGAAATTTGTTCTCTGGGAAATTCTTTTTGACGATAAATACAGAAACAGCCATATAAATCAAAGATAGTGAAAGTGATATTAATATGATTATCTATGATGGGGGTGCGGTAAGAGACCTGGGTAATGGACATGGGTGTGCTGGCCCAGAAACGTTGAGAAGCACTGACTTAAAAGTATCAATCTTTAAGCAGACATTTCACTTGCATTTCATTGGACCCACATTTTGGTGCTATTATTTTTGTTGCAATGTAATAAATCAATCTTCTAAGAAAATGAATTGCCATATTTAAATTAGGGACAAATGGAGAATAATTAGTGATTAACAGAAATAAAGGCTTGAAAACAGTCTGGGTGTAATTATTCTTTATAAGAAGTTGCACAGTAAATTATGCTGCTGGCATTGACAGACATAGGCCATTCATAGCCTTGTGTTAGAATAAGAATGTAATGCCTCAATAAAAAAGTTATTAAACATTTTCTTTTAAGTTTAGAAAAAAAGTTTAAGTTTCTTTTAAACTTTCTTTTAAACATGGACATATTTATGTCCAACATAAACATGTCCTCGTTCATGTTGGACATAAAGGCGGCTTAAAAGTAGCAAAAAGGGAACACAATACATGGGAAATTAATGACATGTATTGTACAGCTTCCTGAAAGACAGCTGTTCTCAGTGTCAAATTAACCCACATAAACTCCCAATGTCACATAACTGACAGACAGAGGTAGCAATTTATTCTTGAACCCATGTACAAACCTGGTATTTTCCACAGAAGAGGGCGGAGTCCAAAACTGAGTACGTGGTGGGTGTACTTTTCCCAACCTGTAAAAATTTTCTCATGCAAGTGGGTTGCAAAAAGTTAAAGCAGGTCAGATGAGGGGCATTGGAAATGCAAAAAGGATTTCATGCAAGTAAAGTGAACTAGTTCACTGACTGATGGTGGAGATTCTCCTTCAGCAGTGATGCAACATTCTCCAATGTGTAGTGACTTTACCAGAACCAATATCATCACCAGTATGACTCTTCAAAGACGTCATACAATCAACATCCTTCAACCTTATGGCCGTAAACATGTGGCTCCCATCAACACCGAGAACGACTCGCTGCTCCAGGCTTTAGTGGACACATACCAGCATGCTTTACTTTAGGAAAATATTCTCTACAAAAAACATTCTCTGCAATCCGGAGCAATATCTAAAACCACTTCATGAAAAGTGCCGTCAGGCAAATGTAAGGAACATTTTGGGGTTCTAATTATTAACAACCACCTAATTTAAAATGTTCTTCTAGTTCATCTGATTGAATTTGTTTGTGCTTGCGCTGCTTTCAGTCACACCCACTTCAATCACTCAAAGTAGACAATAAAAGGTTTTCATATCTGGAAAAAGTTACCAGCATTCCCTGTGAGCCTAAACTTGATTTTTTTTTCTAGTTTTAAGAAAGACCGAGATCCTTCAACCAGAGAGGTATGTTTTGATATTTTATCCAACTACTAGTATTAATACTTAAAGACTTGATTCATACATTTTTAGATGAGTATTTCTGTTATCTAAAAACAGTAACAGTTGTTACCATTTTGCACACACGCTGTATTCTTTATACTGTGTAACCAGAAAGTTATTAGGGCTTCTTAAATAAAAACGAATCTGTGAACAGGAGAGCTTTTTGTTGCTAATCAAAAATCAAATTAACAACAAATTGAAAAGCTAAAACACAGCAAATGTGTTTTTATGCTCTTATATAGTAAGTGTAAAACAAACAAACAAACAAAAAAAAGGCTTAAAAAAACAAACATTTTCTTTTCTAGGTATGTTTTTTGGGGGAGGTGGTTGGTTAAAAAAATCCTAATGAAATACATTAAAGCTTATTGACAAAATGTAAAGAGTTCAGGCTATCACTTGGTTTCTTTCCAAGTGAAAATGTTATGTAGGTGGGTCAGTGACACTTTGTTTTAACCTCAAAAAACAAAAAAAAAACATCCATGTGAAGCATGAACATTTGGCATTAAATAGCAGAGTAGTCACTCAGGTTCAACCTATCAGACGCTTCCACTGCAGCCCCTTATTCTCACTCCAGGTGGTTTCTCATCCGATCACACATCAAAACACGCAGTGTGTTGACTTGCGTTGGTCTTCGTTGGAAAGATACAGGGGACGTCAACTTGAACCACCATAAGGAGAGGTGGGTCAGTGACACATTTCTCCTCAGGCTCATTTTAGTGAATGTGGTTTTGGCATCTGAAGCTATTGGCTCACATATTTGTGTGTTCAGTTTGTCATGAAACGCACTAAAATATAAAACCACTATCTGTCGAAACTCTGCAGTTGTACTTATCCAGCTATGCAGCTGATGGTTTTATGCATTCATTTTACCAGAGCACATCCACAGTTTATGAGACTTGACAAAAACTGAAATTGTTGAGCTAGACAACTGAAAATGTATGTATAAAAAACACCAAATGCACAGCATCTGGTTAATAATAATTATTCTCTGATAACATGTTTACTTTCAGAGCTTCTTGTATAAAGAAGCCCCTTAGTAAAGGTTAAATCAGTTCAATATCCAAAAGCAAAACATTGCTGAGAAGCATTTCTTTTGGATATGAAACTGACCTAGCAAGGCTGAATGGTAATTCATCAAAATATATTGACATTTTCTTTTTATATACCAGACATCCTCTGTGTGGTTCTGAACCAAGCAGTGCAATTTATGTGCAGGGATGTTTAGCATGTAGACATAAGTACAGAATTTTTTTCTCATGTAAACTTTGGATTTTCACTTTTATTCCAGCATAAACATCAATCTATGGGGTATGTTTGGCTTTAGCACGTTTTTGTACAATATTTCAGGTTTCTATGGACAAATCTTGGCATCAAGCAATCTTAAAAGCAATCTTGTTGTAACCTCAAAGTTCTCATCACTACTTAGTCTGATGAAGATGTGAACTATTCAGGTGTTTATTTTTTTTTATTTTTGATGTTTTTCCTACGAAGAACAAATTTTTGTTTGTTCATGCCTTTATTTATTTTTTATATAAAAGGGTGAAGACAGGCCAAGAAGTTGGCTCTGACAATAAACTAATGCAGAAACAGTGATTCCTGTTTCAGCAGGCCCGTGGTGCTTTACAAGGAAAACCAGTACATGACTCTTTCATATTATTCACACAGGCGAGGCTGACATGTCTCTACTTTTACTTATTGAGGTTATAAAAGAAAAAAAAAGACTGAATTATGTAATCTGAACACACAATTCTAAGTTTGTCTTTAAAACATCATCTTACCTACCTGGTTTACTAGGCTTTGAAAGGCTAAGGTACAATATGTCTGCAAAGCCTCCTGCTGAGATTACCTGTGCCAAACGCTCATCAAAGCATTTACACCTGGCCAGGTTTTAATGTTGCATAACATTTTTTTTAAATGACAAACAAGCTGATGCAGATGTAAAAATGAAAAACACAGCTTTCTTAAATCAAGAAATCTAAATTACACAGACTGACTTCTCAAATTCTACACAACCGAAGTAAAATACTGCAGAGAATGTGAAAAAGCAGTGTGTTAAACTTAACTTCATTACTGGGTGTAAAACTAATTAGAGCTGAAAAGCTTTCTTGTTTATTTTACCGAGCTTGTCTTAAGTTCAAATCTGCCATCAACTACAGTGAATCTGATTAATCCTAGAGAAAGTCCAGCTGACCAGGAAGGATTTTACTCGTATTTTCTTAGATCCATTTGTTTGGAGGTTGGAATATAAAATATTCAAGACAGCAAGATCAAATGAGCTGCAGGGATTTCTGGCAGGCTGTGTTCTTCATGTGTCA